ACAGGTAATACGGTACTGCCTCCCCAACAAGTCTCTGTCAACTCTCCTTCACACTCTCAACTACAGGTAATACGGTACTGCCTCCCCAACAGGTCTCTGTCAGCTCTCCTTCACACCAACACACAGGTAATACGGTGTCTCCCCAACAAGTCTCTGTCAACTCTCCCTCACACCAACAACAGGTAATGCGGTACTGCCTCCCCAACAAGTCTCTGTCAACTCTCCTTCACACCAACAACAGGTAATACGGTACTGTCTCCCCAACAAGTCTCTGTCAACTCTCCTCACCACCAACTACAGGTAATACGGTAATGTCTCCCCAACAAGTCTCTGTCAACTCTCCTCCCACCAACAACAGGTAATACGGTACTGTCTCCCCAACAAGTCTCTGTCAACTCTCCTTCACACCAACAACAGGTAATACGGTACTGTCTCCCCAACAAGTCTCTGTCAACTCTCCTTCACACCAACTACAGGTAATACGGTACTGTCTCCCCAACAAGTCTCTGTCAACTCTCCCTCCCACCAACAACAGGTAATGCGGTACTGTCTCCCCAACAAGTCTCTGTCAACTCTCCCTCCCACCAACTACAGGTAATACGGTACTGTCTCCCCAACAAGTCTCTGTCAACTCTCCCTCCCACCAACAACAGGTAATACGGTACTGTCTCCCCAACAAGTCTCTGTCAACTCTCCCTCCACCAACAACAGGTAATACGGTAATGTCTCCCCAACAAGTCTCTGTCAACTCTCCCTCCCACCAACAACAGGTAATACGGTACTGTCTCCCCAACAAGTCTCTGTCAACTCTCCTTCCCACCAACTACAGGTAATACGGTACTGTCTCCCCAACAAGTCTCTGTCAACTCTCCCTCCCACCAACAACAGGTAATACGGTACTGTCTCCCCAACAAGTCTCTGTCAACTCTCCCTCCCACCAACAACAGGTAATACGGTACTGTCTCCCCAACAAGTCTCTGTCAACTCTCCCTCCCACCAACAACAGGTAATACGGTACTGTCTCCCCAACAAGTCTCTGTCAACTCTCCCTCCCACCAACAACAGGTAATACGGTACTGTCTCCCCAACAAGTCTCTTGTCAACTCTCCTCCTCACACCAACAACAGGTAATACGGTTCTGTCTCCCCAACAAGTCTCTGTCAACTCTCCCTCCCACCAACAACAGGTAATACGGTACTGTCTCCCCAACAAGTCTCTGTCAACTCTCCCTCCCACCAACAACAGGTAATACGGTACTGTCTCCCCAACAAGTCTCTGTCAGCTCTCCTCCCACCAACAACAGGTAATACGGTACTGTCTCCCAACAAGTCTCTGTCAACTCTCCTTCACCACCAACAACAGGTAATGCGGTACTGCCTCTCCCAACAAGTCTCTGTCAACTCTCCTCTCACCAACAACAGGTAATGCGGTAATGTCTCCCCAACAAGTCTCTGTCAACTCTCCTCCCACCAACAACAGGTAATACGGTACTGTCTCCCCAACAAGTCTCTGTCAGCTCTCCCTCACACCAACAACAGGTAATGCAGTACTGTCTCTCCCCAACAAGTCTCTGTCAACTCTCCTTCACCAACAACAGGTAATACGGTACTGTCTCCCCAACAGAGTCTCTGTCAGCTCTCCCTCCCACCAACAACAGGTAATACGGTAATGTCTCCCCAACAAGTCTCTGTCAACTCTCCCCTTCCCACCAACAACAGGTAATACGGTAATGTCTCCCCAACAAGTCTCTGTCAACTCTCCCTCCACCAACAACAGGTAATACGGTAATGTCTCCCCAACAAGTCTCTGTCAACTCTCCTTCACACCAGCTACAGGTAATACGGTACTGCCTCCCCAACAAGTCTCTGTCAACTCTCCCTCCCACCAACAACAGGTAATACGGTAATGTCTCCCCAACAAGTCTCTGTCAACTCTCCCTCCCACCAGCAACAGGTAATACGGTACTGTCTCCCCAACAAGTCTCTGTCAGCTCTCCCTCCCACCAACTGTGCAGGTAATACGCAGTACTGTCTCCCCAACAAGTCTCTGTCAGCTCTCCCTCCCACCAACAACAGGTAATACGGTGCTGTCTCCCCAACATGTCTCCTGTCAGCTCTCCTCCCACCAGCAACAGGTAATGCAGTGCTGTCTCCCCAACAACAGTCTCTGTCAACAAGCTCTCCTCACACCAACTACAGGTAATACGGTACTGTCTCCCCAACAAGTCTCTGTCAGCTCTCCTCACACCAACAACAGGTAATACGGTAATGTCTCCCCAACAAGTCTCTGTCAACTCTCCTCACACCAACAACAGGTAATGCGGTGCTGTCTCTCCCAACATGTCTCTGTCAACTCTCCTCCACCCAACTACAGGTAATACAGTGCTGTCTCCCCAACAAGTCTCTGTCAATTCTCCCTCACACCAACTACAGGTAATACGGTAATGTCTCCCCAACATGTCTTTGTCAATTCTCCCTCACACCAACAACAGTTAATACGGTAATGTCTCCCCAACATGTCTCTGTCAGCTCTCCCTCCCACCAACTACAGGTAATGCAGTGCTGTCTCCCCAACAAGTCTCTGTCAGCTCTCCTCACACCAACTACAGGTAATGCGGTACTGTCTCCCCAACATGTCTCTGTCAGCTCTCCCTCACACCAACAACAGGTAATACGGTACTGTCTCCCCAACAAGTCTCTGTCAACTCTCTCCCACCAACAACAGGTAATACGGTACTGTCTCCCCCAACAAGTCTCTGTCAAGTCTCTCCTCCACACCAACTACAGGTAACACGGTGCTGCCTAACAAGTGTCAACTCTCACTTCCCCAACACGGTATTATTGTAATGTCCCCCAACAAGTCTCTGTTACCTCTCCTCCCACCAACAACAGGTAATGCGGTAATGTCTCCCCAACATGTCTCTGTCAATTCTCCCTCACACCAACAACAGTTAATACGGTAATGTCTCCCCAACATGTCTCTGTCAATTCTCCCTCCCACCAACTACAGGTAATACGGTACTGTCTCCCCAACAAGTCTCTGTCAACTCTCCGTCACACCAACTACAGGTAATACGGTAATGTCTCCCCAACAAGTCTCTGTCAACTCTCCCTCACACCAACAACAGGTAATACGGTACTGTCTCCCCAACAAGTCTCTGTCAACTCTCCCTCCCACCAACAACAGGTAATACGGTAATGTCTCCCCAACAAGTCTCTGTCAACTCTCCCTCCCACCAACTACAGGTAATACGGTAATGTCTCCCCAACAAGTCTCTGTCAACTCTCCCTCACACCAACAACAGGTAATACGGTAATGTCTCCCCAATAAGTCTCTGTCAACTCTCCCTCCCACCAACAACAGGTAATGCGGTACTGCCTCCATACGCCCGTGTTGCTTGCGAGGTTAGCACGCTACTCTGAGAAATTCCTTGCTAGTGCTTAATCAATGCCGATTGCTGCTACAGCAGGCCGTGTTATGAGTGTCTTCCATCATCATCATCATCATCATCATCATCATCATCATCATCATCATCATCATCATCATCATCATCATCATCATCATCATCATCATCATCATCATCATCATCATCATCATCATCATCATCATCATCATCATCATCATCATCATCATCATCATCATCATCATCATCATCATCATCATCATCATCATCATCATCATCATCATCATCATCATCATCATCATCATCATCATCATCATCATCATCATCATCATCATCATCATCATCATCATCATCATCATCATCATCATCATCATCATCATCATCATCATCATCATCATCATCATCATCATCATCATCATCATCATCATCATCATCATCATCATCATCATCATCATCATCATCATCATCATCATCATCATCATCATCATCATCATCATCATCATCATCATCATCATCATCATCATCATCATCATCATCATCATCATCATCATCATCATCATCATCATCATCATCATCATCATCATCATCATCATCATCATCATCATCATCATCATCATCATCATCATCATCATCATCATCATCATCATCATCATCATCATCATCATCATCATCATCATCATCATCATCATCATCATCATCATCATCATCATCATCATCATCATCATCATCATCATCATCATCATCATCATCATCATCATCATCATCATCATCATCATCATCATCATCATCATCATCATCATCATCATCATCATCATCATCATCATCATCATCATCATCATCATCATCATCATCATCATCATCATCATCATCATCATCATCATCATCATCATCATCATCATCATCATCATCATCATCATCATCATCATCATCATCATCATCATCATCATCATCATCATCATCATCATCATCATCATCATCATCATCATCATCATCATCATCATCATCATCATCATCATCATCATCATCATCATCATCATCATCATCATCATCATCATCATCATCATCATCATCATCATCATCATCATCATCATCATCATCATCATCATCATCATCATCATCATCATCATCATCATCATCATCATCATCATCATCATCATCATCATCATCATCATCATCATCATCATCATCATCATCATCATCATCATCATCATCATCATCATCATCATCATCATCATCATCATCATCATCATCATCATCATCATCATCATCATCATCATCATCATCATCATCATCATCATCATCATCATCATCATCATCATCATCATCATCATCATCATCATCATCATCATCATCATCATCATCATCATCATCATCATCATCATCATCATCATCATCATCATCATCATCATCATCATCATCATCATCATCATCATCATCATCATCATCATCATCATCATCATCATCATCATCATCATCATCATCATCATCATCATCATCATCATCATCATCATCATCATCATCATCATCATCATCATCATCATCATCATCATCATCATCATCATCATCATCATCATCATCATCATCATTTAATCAATGCCGATTGCTGCTACAGCAGGCCGTGTTGCGAGTGTCTTCGAGCATTGCCAGGCAGCAAACCTGAGATTATTCCCAAGCTTGTTTATATATTTGAGGTATTCAGCCTGATAGGAGGAGCTCCGTTCACCTCCGCAGCGGACTGATAAATGGATTACACACCGTGAAGAAATTCCTTCTAGACTAACCCAGGCTCCTCAAAGACTCTAATTCCTAAACTTTGGCACTTTTTCTTTTTGGGTGAACCTGGCATAGATTCACCTGCACAGCGTAATACTCACCATTCGAGTCCTTAATCACTGGATAACAATTTAATCATACCACCGTCCACGCGGTTCAGGAGTTGTTTGTTAAGAGAATCAGTACTAGCGATATCCACGGTGTTGTTGTGGGAGCCAGTTATCTCGGTGTTAGGAGTTCACAGTGATACTCAGCGGCCGAGAAGGACTGAACATAGCTGTGGAACGCTGCTGTGGAGTTTTTTACGCTACCAGTTCCTCTTTGGTTTCAACGCATCATGGAGTAACCCAGTCTACTTGAGCGAACGATATTTGGAAAAAGTTACTCTCACAGGTTTGGATTCTTTAATTACGATGGCTACACCACAAGACGACGTTAAAACATCCCTTACTGGACCACAGAGGAAAAATGTGCATATAAGTGATGAGAAAGCCGAGATTATTGAAATAGCTGAAAAACACGGGCCTCTGTATAATGCGATACCGTGTATGCCATTGCCAGTGGCTGTCATGTGCTGCGTTCTCAATATCATCATCCCAGGACTAGGTAAGTACTTTATCATCATCATCATCATCATCATCATCACAGAACTGTTCTTGCATTCGTTATATACTTTTTATTATGCATATAATCATCATTAAACAGTCTTCATATCCTTATTATGATCTTCATCGTCATCATCATCATCATCATCATCATCATCATCAACATCACAGAACTGTTATTGCATTCGTTATATTCTTTTGTATTATTCATATAATCATCATTGAAACAAACCTCGTATCCTTATTATGATATTCATCGTCACACTTAAGCATCACAAAATGACAATGGGGATGATTGACAGATTTCAACGAAAGATTTAATTTTCCGATGCAATCAGTGTAATTACAAGTTGCAATGGAAGAAATTTCAAAGCTGGTATAATCTCTGAAGATCTTACTATCCAAATAAGTGTTCAGGAGTCAAAACTAAAGTCAATTATGCAAATATCAATTAAATTATATTCTCAAATTCCATTTTCGGAGCCGTTGCTTAAGGTGATTTTTCGGTCAATTACGTCTAGTAATCATGTAAGAGTTTTCCAAACCATACTCTCTTGTAATTAATTTGTTTTTTGATACCAGATCGTACGTTCCCTTGATCTGGCTGGTGACCCATGTGTAACTTGAAAACAACCCGTTCAACCTTCATCAATATATGTTATTGACATGTTAAGCCAATAATGTTCAACCAACTGACGAAATTGCATGAACATATTAGGTAAATAGATATATTTCAGCTCAACGAACACAGAACCGTCTCATCAGAAAAATATAAACTGTAAACATAGCCTGACGTCACTGTGTGAAATCCACCTATCCTGATGTGTTCATTGCAGAGCTTGTCATGTCAATTTTAATCTTCGCTAGGGAGTCTGAGCCGCTTGGTGTTGTAAATAGCATAGCGATTTCCCTGTTTAATATACCATGATGCACCTGCTGTGAGACTTAACCCTTTAAGTTGTGGTTCCACCTGCTGGAGTTGGAGATTGTTAATGTATTAATAAACGATTAATCTACGAACGGGTCTTGAACAGACCATGCTTCTTAAGCTGGTGGCATTTTCCTGTCCGGCACAAGACTTTGTGCTCAGTGGCCTGCGTGAAATATAGCAATTCTACCTAATGAACATTAAGGACGTGATTATTAAGCGCTGGTTTTGTTGGTAGACATTTAGATGTTTAAATGGCTTTGAAAAAGATTCTAACCTAGACAATTTGTTCGAATCGTCCCCCATTAAACGTTTATCTGTTACTTTATGTTGCTCAGAAATGTGTTATATTTATTATGTGTATTACATGTATGGTAATTATGAAAATAATTACCTTACATGAAAATTTGTTCGTGAACGTCTCCACAAACATATATACTGAACAGCAAAAGAAACGCGAGTTCGAAAAAATGAAATCTCATAAAAGTAAGCGTTCATGTTGATGGAACGTTCAAAAGTGACAAAAAGCCAGACTTGCGTTTCTTTGGCTGTTCAGTATATATTATAATTTATTTTGTTCTGTCGTACACTCTAAGCCGTTAGTATGGCGATCTGTGTGTTGTTCTGTATAGTGACACCAATTTAAGGTTTGGTTGTTTAAATACAAAACTGGGATTCCTTAGTTGTTGTACTGTGCATTGTCGACAGATTTATGGTCTTATTGTGTATCATAATGTCTAAATTGTTCTCGTCATAATATGGCTGACATATTGCCAATGTGACGTTAAATTTTAACGCTTACCTGTTTACGTCGCTGTAAACAATTACGCTTCATCCCCACGTTGTATACTTCAAGATCTAATTCGTCCCCCCTCGCCCCAACCGCCTGATAAAGAAATCTCGGTCCTATTGTGTACCATAATGTATAAATTGTTCTCGTCATAATATGGCTGACATATTGCCGATGTGACGTTAAATTTTAACGCTAACCTGCTTACGTCGCTGTAAACAATTACGCTTCATCCCCACGTTGTATACTTAAAGGAATAATCGCAAAACCTCCTGCCACTTGTTTGTGTACACGGGAAGTACTCCTTTAACGCCAGACAGCTGTAGTACAAGTTTGAAGCATCACTGCAAGTGGTAACAGCCATTGTATTCCTTTATGCTAACATTTCCTCGTCAAGATTCTCTTGTGACTTGGTATCGTGTATCAGTCTCTATAGGCGAAACACGTTTGGCAGAAATTCCAAGGCGATATGCTTCATGGAAGGTATCCCATATTGTGCATGTGTTCAATCCGTTTGTTATGTCCCGCTCGCCCTTCCCGTAACCTGATATTGAAGACGGTCTATTTCGTCACCACTCGCCCCATTCGCCTGATAAAGAAATCTCGGTCCCATTCGGCCCAAATCGCCCCTTTCCGTAACCTGATATGTAAGACTAAACCTTAGTCGTCACCACTCATTCCGACTCGTCCCCACTCGCCCCTTCCCGTAACCTGATGAGGAAGGCGGTCTAATTCGTCCCCGCTCGCCCCATCTGCCTGATAAAGAAATCTCGGTCCCATTCGGTCCCATTTGGTCCCACTCGTCCCCACTCGCCCCTTTCCGTAACCTAATATGTAAGACTCAGTGCCAGTCGCCCCCACTCGGTCTCATTCGGTCCCAATCGTCCCTTTCCGAAACCTGATATGGAAGATTCGGATCTACTCCTCCTCTCTCCGTAACCGTTAATAGATTTGAATCCTACTGGCTCCAGTTGACGTTTTGGCACCAATCCAGGAATAACAGGAGATGTCACGAGCGCACATGCGCAGCGAACTCTAGTGATGAGTTGTAAATATGCAAATGGGCTAACGTACTATATTTACCTCACAGATCGATATACCTGTTGCAGGTGTTGTGAATTGTGATTGCACTGCAGCTAATGAACTGCATCTATTAATGATTGTTTAATTAGCGCACTTGATAATCACATCATGATAGAGGTTAATTGGTTCTGCATTAATTATTAAGTCAAGAAATGTCTCACTAAGAGGCCTTTTCATTTGACTTAAGACATTTCGTCAGACAGAAATACGGATTATTATTCCCGGATTGTCTCGAATCTCAGAAGTATTTGAATGTCACGACACCAATTTCTGATATAATGATTGTGAAAACATACATTGCTATGGCATTCCTGCGATGAGTCTATAAATACTGCCTGATATTGCTGAAAAACTAGACAATATCTCAGAAGACGTCACATCTGTGTTTACAGACGGTGAATCCCAGCGGAGCCCGGCAGCCTGGGCATGAGTCATTGTGTTGACATTAACAGAGTATAACAAATGTAAATTAAATTGGAATTACATTATGGTTTGTACAGATCATTATACTTGTACAGATCATTATACATTATACATTGAATCTTTATCTTTGTATATTGAGAGAGGCACGGCTATCCGGTGAGAGAGAGAGAGAGAGAGAGAGAGAGAGAGAGAGAGAGAGAGAGAGAGAGAGAGAGAGAGAGAGAGAGAGAGAGAGACGGACACAGGCACACAGACATACACATACATACAGAGTGAGAGAGAGGGAAGGGAGTGAGAGAGAGAGAGAGACGGACACAGGCACACAGACATACACATACATACAGAGTGAGAGAGAGGGAGGGAGGGAGAGAGAGTGAGCAAGAGAGAGAGAGAGAGAGAGAGAGGTGGAGAGAGTGACGCACACAGACACACACATACATACAGAGTGAGAGAGAGAAGGGAGGGAGGGAGAGAGAGAAAGAGAGAGACAGAGAGAGAGAGGTGGAGAGAGTGACGCACACAGACACACATACATACAGAGAGAGAGAGAGAGGAGGAGGAGGGAGAGAGAGAGAGAGAGACAGAGAGAGGTGGAGAGAGTGACGCACACAGAAGAGAGAGAAAGAGAGAGACAGAGAGAGAGGTGGAGAGAGTGACGCACACAGACACACACACACATACATACAGAGTGAGAGAGATAAGCGAGGGAGGGAGAGAGAGAAAGAGACGAGGAGGGGGTGAGAGAGGTGGAGAGAGAGGGGGAGGGAGAGAGGAAGAGAAAACCTAAAAAAACTTTTAAAAACACGATCCTCGTTGTAAACCGTCGACACAGATGATACCCTCCGTTCATCAGGTCTATCAGTTATTGCATTTGACTTGCTATTCTCACCATGGCCGATTCCGAGCAATTAGAACAAATATGTCCTTGGCATTTCTAATGCCTATATGTCATTGTCAGATACCACATCTTCTGGTCTCCTCTGCTTGAGAGTCTTTGCGTTGAACACTGTAAAAACATTTTAGGCGTTTTGATAAAAAAGGCAATCGACCATGCTCAGTTTCATTATATTTTGTCACAGCGCCGACGTAAAAGGCAAGTTATTAACTTGAACGACTCACGTTCGCCCCAGGGTCACCAGGCATTGTCACAACTAGATCTTGATGTATACTACTCAAAACAATTTAACGAACATCCTTAACCACAGTCATTGGATATTAATCGCATGTTCCTTAACATTTTATGTAGTATAGTTCTATCACCGTCAACAAGACAATGTCATGGTTTCCATGATTTCTGTCAGATGTTCACTGTCATGGATTACAAAAATGGCATGGTTAAACCCGTATTGTCATTTCTTAAAGGTGAGGAAAGGTGGGCAAATGGGTAGTGCGATAGTTCCTCACAAGGGACGCAAAATGCACATCAACTTGGCCATAAACCCTGCATCGTAATCATGATGTTGTCACGTTTGAAGGTAGCATTGTGCTTCTTGCTGCATGGAGGAAAATGAAGTTGTAACATGGAGTCCCAAACATTCAGAGTGTTGAATATTTAATAGCGTCACACACACGCACGCCTGAACGCACGCACACTAACAAACAATAACGAAAACAAACAAACATGCATGCACATCGTAATTTAAATGCAATAATCTGTAGACAAGGTTAAGCCCCATTTACCCCCACCTCACCTTGTAGTAATGGACCCTTGAAGATCCGGGTTAGAATGATCTTCAGTAACCCATGCTTGTCGTAAGAGGCGACTAACGGGATCAGG